AAATAGCCCTCATGTTCCCATTGTTCTTTGTCGTGTATTAATGTAAGTATCTGCTGTCGGTGAGTCTAGTCTGTTTATGCTACATCAAGTCTGTTCAAGTCAAGTCAAGTCTTTGTTTGGATCACTCTGTTAAATAAACTGCACATGGGTTCTTCAACTTGCCGTTCAGTGGACTACTCATTACAACGCATTGACTTTCACATGCTTTTCACATGTACTTTATCTTCACCATTATCAATATCGAACATGATTCTGATCTCAGTTGTTTTGTCTCCAATTATCTGTCTCTCATATGTGGACTTTAGTTAATCAATAAAAGAAATGACGAAAGCTCAGTTTTATTTCTTCATTGGTTAAACTACAAAATATTGCACGAAGTTCACTGAACAATAATTACATTTAATAATGATTAATAAAATAGGCTGCTCTTTTCCTACATCTGATGTGCCATTTGACCCTATAAGTGTAATGAACAGCAGTAAGAGTCTTGGCACCACGAGTGGGCCCGAGGGGGCATGACCTGGCCACTTCGGTACCTGCGCCCCCTCACCTTGCCGATTCATGGAACATGGTTTCTATCAAGGCCCACTCTAGAAACTCAAATGCCCCTCCAGTTTGTGTGGGCTGGCGTAGACTGAGCGGTAAATTGAATGAGTAAAAGTATTTGTACTTACGTGAGTACGCGATTGAAGCTTCATTTGTAAAATCTTCTGGTAGAATGTTGCATTCTGGATCAAGTAAAACATTTATCTGAATAATGTCTTATATATTCCCACTGTCATTGTGTCTCGAAACACTGTCATGTCTTGACTTTACTGTAAGAGCAGGACAAAAACATTTCCAGAGACATCCTCATTCTGACCTACAGACAAAAAAGGGAAAGAGAGAGAACTGAAAACAGCTGAATACAGTCTGGATTTTCCATGAACTGCTGTTCAGATTTTGCTTGATATGAACACCAACATATACAAAAACAGTTACTGAAGAGACTAGATGGATATATATACCTACATTAAGGTTTTTGGTTATCATATCTGGGCTCAATCCAGAAAGATCTTTCTCATAGTTCCTCTCACTCTTCTTCATCCTGACAGACTGAAGCTTCATTTGTAAAATCTTCTGGTAGAATGTTGCATTCTGGATCAAGTAAAACATTTATCTGAATAATGTCTTATATATTCCCACTGTCATTGTGTCTCGAAACACTGTCATGTCTTGACTTTACTGTAAGAGCAGGACAAAAACATTTCCAGAGACATCCTCATTCTGACCTACAGACAAAAAAGGGAAAGAGAGAGAACTGAAAACAGCTGAATACAGTCTGGATTTTCCATGAACTGCTGTTCAGATTTTGCTTGATATGAACACCAACATATACAAAAACAGTTACTGAAGAGACTAGATGGATATATATACCTACATTAAGGTTTTTGGTTATCATATCTGGGCTCAATCCAGAAAGATCTTTCTCATAGTTCCTCTCACTCTTCATCCTGACAGACTGAACAAATGCTGTGAAGAGACTGTAATATTCCCTGGCAACCTGATGGGTGGAGAGACTTTGACTTGTTACTTGTCAGACCTAATGTGTGAGTAAATGTTTAGTAAGTGGGCAGATCACGTGTTCAGCAAGAAACAAATCATAGTGGTTCCTGTTCCCAGGGTCTCTAAAATTAACAAAATAATAATAGTATCACACACACACAGACAGACAAACATATTGATCTCTGTATACATGGCTATTTAAACACTTAAGTTTTCTGAATTATGTCTGACACCTTCCTGCTATCTTTCTGACTTTATTATCATCAAGAGAACAACATGAATGCAAATTTTACATCATTCATGAACCACAGAGAAACTGAAACACACAGAAGAAAAACATACTGTACATTGGATCTCATAAGCATATCAGCATATTTGAATACCTTGAAAAAGACTAATGATGGATGCATTCCAAATGCTTTTTTGTGAAGCTTCAAAACCTTTGCACGTCATTTTTGGAACCAGTGATTCAGAGCTTGCATCAAACTGCCAGTGTCACATTATTCAGCAAGAAACAAATCATAGTGGTTCCTGTTCCCAGGGTCTCTAAAATTAACAAAATAATAATAGTATCACACACACACAGACAGACAAACATATTGATCTCTGTATACATGGCTATTTAAACACTTACGTTTTCTGAATTATGTCTGACACCTTCCTGCTATCTTTCAGACTTTATTATCATCAAGAGAACAACATGAATGCAAATTTTACATCATTCATGAACCACAGAGAAACTGAAACACACAGAAGAAAAACATACTGTACATTGGATCTCATAAGCTTATCAGCATATTTGAATACCTTGAAAAAGACTAATGATGGATGCATTCCAAATGCTTTTTTGCGAAGCTTCAAAACCTTTGCACGTCATTTTTGGAACCAGTGATTCAGAGCTTGCATCAAACTGCCAGTGTCACATTAAGTAAATGAGACTTTGTTATAATATATATCGATACAACGTTTTACAACTTGTGAATCCAACTGTTCCAAGTATACTATAAAAAAAGTCCTGCTTACAAAATATGTGTGTGCAATATTACCTAGTTACCAGTGTGTCCACTAATATCATGTGGGAGAAAAAGAACTTTCAGGGAATTTGGAAAATGCTAGATAATGACCACGGGTAGAAAGATGTATGTGAATGCATTACTTGTTTTAATGGCGAACAAATGCTTGCACAATTGCATTGAATGTGTAAGATGTCCCCCCTCTCCAATTAAATATGTAAATGTTAATATGCCTGTATATTAATCATATAATACTTTTACCTTTCAGATTAATCTCCTTAACTGGGATTCTGCTTTGTCTGTGATCAGTTAGGATTTATTTATTCTAAATTTCGGCAAGTGTTACCAAGTTACTTAAAGAAAAATAAATAGTTCCTGAAGAGTGACTGTAACACTTATAATGTTAGGTAACACCAAGTAACATATATTTTATGTCTTGACACACTAAACGGTCACTGACACAGTAAAAACATACATTTCTGTGAGGTAGACTGACAGATTGATACAGTAGGTTGCATAAAATCAATATCACATGTGTGATCGTGTTGGTTTTAGGAAAAACAACACTTTTGCTTGTGTGATAATTCATATATCATGTTATAAATATACAGTATATTTAACAAAAATTATTATTGGGACATTTCTTGCCTCATACTGTACCTTGAATACTTGTATCATTTTCTGTGATTGTGGTGTAGTTTCTGCCCCAAGCCCCATTCATTTGTGACCAGCAAACAACTACTAATTAAACAAACAAACAGGTAAAGGTGGATCCATGGGCAGGACCTCAGTCTTGCCCACAAGCATCCTTGAAGAATTTGGACATCCATATTATGTTCTTTAACCACAAAATCACAAGCTTGTAAATCACAAGGCTTTACAGTATGTGTTAGTCCAAACTTTATTAAATAATAATAATTTGTGAAACCCATATGAATCGATCACTACTCAGGTGTTACCTCGTCATGCCTCAGATACTACAAGGAATCTGGACTATTATTTTAAAGTTGAAAAATGTCAGTGGTCTAGATCAATAGTAGTTCCCGCAGAGTAACTAACTAGGTTTCAAACATTGTTCATATAAATGCCAGTACATTTGTTTGGTGTATTGCTTGCTTTAATAAATGAACAAATGTAAATGTAAAACATCTGGTGAATAAGTAGGTGAATTCAGTTTGATAGGGACACCTTTCCCAGTCATTTCAATTACTAAAATGTGTCACAATCAACCTGAATTCAGAAATGACTAGAAATATCCAAACAACTTTAACAGATTTAATTTTATTTACTCAATTTACCGGGTCTTGAACATACAAACGAAGCTTATTTACATATGAAACACAATGGTCCTCATTTTCAGTGTATATAGCCTTCCTGAGCACACTGAAGTACAAGTTAATATACAAATGTTTACTAATATAGAATTGTTAAGGCAGCAACATATTGACAGGCTTATCCATCTATAACTTCAGCCAAAAATGTACCGGTTTCAAGATCACAGTCAAAATGCAGTACATAAGGCAAGGATGTAACAGTAAAAAACATCAGAAAACTGTAAGCATTCAGCTAAAAAAGTAACTTTTAACTTACAAAGTCAAGACACAAGGCAAAGTTATTTAAATAGCACACTTCATACACACTAGTAATTAAAAACACTTGACATACAAGTAAAAAAAGGAAAAAGAAAGAAAAAAGAAATGACAGGATACAATATAAAAGGAAAATATAAAAATAGTTATTTACATTTTTAACATTGTATTTTTTTCTTACATTTCATTTGTTGTGGCTTCAAGCTACTATGAGACTTTCCACTGACCTTCTCTTTTATTCACAGATATGACACGCATGAAAGAATAATGGAAGTGTGCCGCTTCCCGCAAAAACAACTGTACAATATATAGGCTTATGACTAGAGATGCACCGATTGCAATTTTCTTGGCCGATTCCGATTTCCAATTTTTTTGTTAGTGTGATCTGTCGATACCGATTTTTGCCGATTCCGATTTTCTTTCTAAGAACTATAATTGACAGCATATTCAAACAAAAATCTACATTTCTTCAATGCAAAGTTTTATTTTCATAAAAAAACAAGTCAAAAGTCAGTAATAAAATAACACAAAAAAATGGCAAACAACAGCACAAATATATGCAATAAAATACAGACAGCTATGAAACTAAGTTTTTCAGGTTAAGTAAGTTTTTATTCAGGTAAGAAATACTACAGAAATTAAAGTAATCAAATGTAAAATAACACATCCAGTGTTATTTTACATTTGATTACTTTAATTTCTGTAGTTTTCATTTAAAAAAATTTAATACAGATTAATGCTTACCATTGAAGTTATAAAATTTATTCAGTCAAGAGCAGAAAGTGATTTTCTTTGTCTTTTGTTCTTTGATTAACATGACAGACAGCAGTAGGAATATTGAACTGTGGTCCCTTTAAGAGTTTATCCACGGACCCAATATATAGGGCCAGTTTACACCTAGTCATTTCATGCGTTTTCGCTGATCGGATATCTATCTGATTTGTTAAAACGTTTCCATCTACACTTGGCCACATAAATGTGTCGTCGCAAAACGGATATAAATCCGATCTTCGATTCCCGCGCTATATTTAAGTAGTAGAGCACCTTGCAACTTAAAATCCAAAACCACAAACAACCACATCACATGTCACTTTAGACTGCTAGGTGGCCTTATAGTGTGCAGATAAGGAAGATACAGAAACACTCATTCATTCTAGTGGTTTTCTGTTCTTCAAACAAATGCTTTGTCTACTCGTCTTTTTATTTATTTTTCTATCCGAAGCTGCTGCAGCAACAATGAAAGCACCAACCTCCTCCTCTGACTCCATGTTTAATGCAAAAGCTCATGCAGTTGCTGCAGGAAAGCAAAGCTGTACAGTTGCTTCATTTACCAACTGTTTCATCAGGACTATCAGCCTTTACCGATTCATATTGTGTACTCAAAACCTCACGAGTGGCTTCCCCGTAGCTGATTGAGCACTTTTTTTCTCAAGAATACTACAATGAAAACTATAACCGATATAAGTAACACAAGTAATATAATGCAAACCAAGAGCAAAGGCAGCGATGGCCCCATTCCCTCATGGTCTGTTTCTCCTTGGTTTCCTTGTTCAGTGGATACAGAGTCTGAAAAAAAAGTTGTACAGAAAACATTACATCACTGTGATAGAGGCAACACAGGTCGATCTACAATTCATAGCAGCATTCTCTGAGAAACCTGATGACCAAGTCGTGCTTCCCCAAAGACTTACCGTCTACTGCCTCATGATGCGCAGCAATGGTGGCAACATACACTTTAAAGGTGGAGGGAGACAGCCTTCACTTTCGCGTAGCCGAGTCTGATGGTTCTCATGAGCCAGCGAGACGGCCTGGGGAGCGCTAACCAGGCCCCCAGTGACCGAACAAGTGGGACCAGGGAAACCACTGACGTACCCGTAGTGGGGCAGCGAAGTGGAACACAGGGACCCAACCCAGGAGGGTAGCCAGTGGCAGAACAGAAAAAAACGGGAACAAAAGATTCTCCACCCGGCCCTCCTCTGGGCGAAGGAGTGGTGCGGTCACCATTTCCTGAAGAGCAGGATCCAAGGAGGGCGCCCTCAGCAGCGAGCAGACAGAGGGGCTGCACCCGGCGGTGGGGTGGAGACAGCAGCAGACCGCCGGGGCAGGATGTGTCGAAACGCCTCCATCTGCTTCTGCGCAGCGGAGAACTGTTGGGAAAAGCCCTCCACAGCTTCGCCGAATAGGCCGGCCTGGGAGATTGGGGAGTCCAGGAAGCGATGCTTGTCGGCCTCCCTCATTTCCGCCAAGGTCAGCCATAGGTAGCGCTCCTGGACCACCAATGTGGACTTCGTCTGAACCAGGGCCTGCGCCGTGACTTTCGTCGCCCTAAGCGCGAGGTCCATCGCCGTGCGCAGTTCCTGCAGCACACCTGGGTCAGCACCACCCTCGTGCAACTGCTTCAACGCCTTGGCCTGGTGGACTTGCAGGAGGGCCATGGCGTGCAGAGCGGAAGCGGCCTGTCCAGCAGCATTGTAAGCCTTAGCCGTCAGAGCGGCCGAGAACTTACAGGCCCTGGACGGAAGGCGTGGACTACCTCTCCAGGCGGCGGTGCTTTGCGGACAGAGCTGCATAGCAATAGCGTGCTCGACTGGGGGGATGTCCACATACCCTTGGGCCGCCCCACCGTTGAGGGTGGTGAGGTCGGAGGAGGCATCAAGTCTGTTTCAGACAGAAAAAGGTGCCTTCCAAGACTTAGTAACCTCCTCATGCACTTCCGGGAAGAATGGAACCAGAGGCGGCTGCCGACGACCGGCCTGCGCCCCCAGGAACCAATAATCCAGTCTCGAGCGTTCGGGAGAAGGAGGAGGCCTCCAGTGCAGCCCGACACTCTCGGCGGCCCGTGAAAGCATAGCAGTCAGCTCTGGATCTGACTCGGGCAACGCCACTCTTCCTGATGGAGGCAGCACAGCCGAATCCTCATCTTCAGAGCCTAGCTCGCCCTCCGATGCAGTGATCAACATCCTGTCATCCGCCTGTGCTCCGCAAAAGATGCTGGACCGCCCTGTCCGAGGATCCAGCACACTCGTCCGGGAACACCAGGTGGTGCGGCATGCTAGAGAAATGAGAGGCCCACGGAGACGTACTCGACGGGGAAGCTCTCACCGTGATCCTCAGATCTCCCTGACCATGAACCGAAGCAGCCCTCCGAGCTAGAGCGGGGCATGGCAAGGGGGATACCACCCCCCCGTTTAATGAGGAGTTATCTAGACCGCAACGTCGCGATGGTCATGTTCCTGCACTGAGAACATGACTCATC